CACGTGGACCTTGTGCTTCTCGCCGGAGCTGCGGTCGGAAGCGATGGGGGGGATGACCAGGGGCCTCTCCTTGATGAGGTGGACCTCGGCCGACTCCCTGGCCAGCAGGAACGGGGTGGGGTCGGGCATGGCATCCACCGGTTCCCGCAAAAGGAGTTTCCGGCTCTCGGCCCCGAATCTGTAGACCTCGTCGAACTCGGGGTGCAGGGGGGCGGAGAGGCTCTTCTTCATGCGGCGGCGGGGCGTCTCGGGCAGCTTGTCCCTGGGGGGCGCGGGCTTGTAGCCGGCCAGCACGGGGCTCCCGCCGGGGCTGCCGTCCGAGGTCCCGCTGGAGCTGAGTAGCTTCCGCTTGGTGGCGTGCAGCTGCGAGGTCAGGTAGGCGATGGTGCCCGCGCGCTGCTCCAGCTCCCCCGACAGCAGGTTCAGCTTGTGGCTCTTGAGCTTGAGCTCCTCCAGGTACCGCTTCTCGCGCTCCCGCACCGTCGTCTCCAGCACGGCCACGGCCGCGTCCCTCTGCTCCAGCTCGCGCAGCAGCGCCTCGTGCTCCTGCTCCTTCGCCCTCAGCTGCGCCTCCAGGTCCTCGCAGCGTCTCTGCAGCTCGCTGCTGCTGCGTCCGTCCCCTGCGGGCACAGGCAGCCGGTGAGAGCCCGCCCCGGACGGCTGAGGACCCCACGGGGCCGGGACCGGTGCCCGAGGCCCTGCCCGCTCTTGGGCTGCTTATTGTATAAAAACCTCCACGTTTACCAGCCGCTGAGGCCGGACGGGCAGTCTCAGACAGTCGGCTCTGAAAGGCGCACACGAGAGACGGAAATACAAACCCAGGCTCAGGGCCTGGCGAGCACCGAGCCTCGTGGACAAGACCGGTGACTCCAGCAAGGCGCAGGCACACGCGACTGTGACCGCCGTACAAACAGGCTACTCAGAAAGGGCTTCTGGGCTCTGCTAGTCCCCACCCCGTGCTGGGAGCAGGCCCCCTCTCCTGCCCTGGCTGCCACCCAGCTGATGATCTCCGGGGACCCCGAGGATTCTGGAGTCTAAGGAAGGACCTCCGCCACGTTTGGGGCCACCTCGTACTCAGTCCCCCGCCCTGGGCCCTGGGCTGCCCTACACCGCATCCTCCTGGTTTAAGTCACGCCCATAATAGAAGGGACTGTATTCACTCTAAAAATCAGGAAGTCCGGAGAGGTGTGAAGAGGCCCCCAAACATAAGCGTCATTCCTCCCGCCGCTGCCCTGGGAACAGCGGGGTCCCCGCCCAGCGCTCTGGCCACATGCAGGGCTTCCCCGCGGGAGCCGGGCGCCATCGCCCCTCCGGAGGCAGTTCTTACCTGTCTGTTCCGAGCTCTTGAGTGTCAGCTCGTACGTTAAATCTGAAAAGGAAGCCACAGGCATTGGTTCTGTGTGGTCACAGCGCAATGCACGGCACTGCACAGGCCTGCTCAGCCCTGAAACCCAGCCACCAGCCGGGAGTCCCCCTGCACCCCCTCCCCCAGGCAGGTCAGGGTCAGGGTCAAGAGTGACAGCGGTGGAAGCTACCAGTGGCCTCCGCCCTTCTCAGGGTCCAGAGGGAACCCCCCTCCCCTAAAACACATCCCAACCCCCACATTCTGCCAGCAGCTGGCTGTGCTACGTGACGCTTTGGTCATCGGTGCCCAAGTGCATTGCCGGTCCTGACCACTGCACTTGGACCCATGGGTTCGCGGTGCACCCGGGACTGGCCGCCCCGAGCTCCTCTGAAACAAGTCCGTGGTCTCCCGGTGACGGGTCACCCCATCAGAGAGGAACCCCTCACTGGCCTGGCGAGCCAGCCCCCCCAAAGCTTCCCCGCCCTCCCCTCCCCTCCCCGGGGCGGCACCTGTGCAGTGCTGCTGCAGCCGCCGGATCTCGGCGTGCAGGCCCCGGAGCGTGCCCGCGTGCTCCCGCTGCAGGAACAGCAGGTTCTTCTGCGCGCTGTGCAGCTGGTTCTCCAGGTTTGCGGCCGCCATGCTGACACGCGGTGACCTGCGGGGAACAGAGCGGGGTCTCGGGCAGCGGCTCCGACTCCAAACCCCAGCCTCTCCGCGGGCCACCTGGCTCCCACAGACGTGACCAGAGGCCTCCCGGGAGCCCTGCTCAGGTGACACCCACGGCCTCCCCAGGGACACGGCGCCAGGGACGTGGCGAGCACACGCAATGGTGTCCATCCCTGGCTGAAGCGAGGACTCGGAGGGAAGCCCCCGATTTCAGAGCTGAGCCCCAGTCCTTCCCGAGGAACATCTCACAGGGCCCCGTGGTGACTGCAGGAGCCTGGCGTCTGTCCCCAAGCCCTGCCCGCCCCACCCAGCCCGCCGTGGCTGCGACATCAGGGACCAGCCGCTGGCTCAGGCCGGGACTCGGCCTTGACTGTAACTGGAGAAAGGCTCTGGCAGAGCTGCCGGGCAACCCAGGATGCCCTGCCCGCCCTGGCTGTGCCGGGACGGAACGCGGACCAGCCGCTGAGAGCGATCCTGTGGGTGCAGAGCCGTGGGCTGCGTTCCCCAGCTGCTGCGTCAGCCCAAGCAGAGGAAGCCCCCCTCGGGGCTCCCAGCGGGCGGCACACAGGAGGCCAGGGCTGGCCTGTGGGGTGGCACCAGGGCCTACGGGCCTTCAGTGCCCAAGGGCCTTTGTCTCCCAGGCTGCCTCATCTCCTCGCAGGTGCCCTGCGCACAGCACACAGGATGCACATGTTCACCTGCAGACGGAGCTGCTGTGGCAGCCCTGGCGCTCTTGGGGTCGGGTCCCGCGTTCCCAGAGGCCCTCCCTGCCTCGGGCCTCCTCCTGGCCCGTGTGCTCCATCAACCCTCCGTCCTCTCCTCTTTGGCCCCCGCCACGCCCTCCCCATGTGGCGTCTGCACACCTTGGTCCCTGTCTGAATGCTCTTGGCAAGCGGGCCCCCAGCCTCAGTTCCAGCCCCATGGAGTCCCCTTCTCCCTGCCCGAGCCTCACTCAGCAGCTTCCTCGTGGGCTGCTCCCGAGAGCTACGCCCATCAGTCAGAAGTGCAGCGGCCCCATCGGGGCAGGAGCTCACCGGCTTTGGGACGGCCGGAGCGACAGTTCGGAGAACCTCTGGCCACGTTTCTAGACGGAAGGGAACGGAGTGGCTTTGCTGGGAAGGGCCTTCACCCCTGAAGACGGGAAATGTCTGTTCCGACCCAACGCAGCTGCTCCTTTAGCTCCCAGAGCCGTGGGAGCAGGGCTGTAACGTCAGCATCGGAGGAAACCGCGCCGTGGCCGCGAATGAGCGCTAAGCAGCTATTTTAGATCCTGGTCATGAATAAGACAGGACCATTCACATTAGGGGCTCCTGTGCGTGAACGCTCCGCATGGCAAGAGGCTGGGGGCCTTGGCGCCCCTGTGAGGTCCGGCCCAGCAGGACCCGCCGGCTCTTAGCATCCTGCACACAGACCCCGTGGCTTCCCGTGGGATCCCCGTGTCTGCCGACGGCTGAAACACTGCCATCGGGAAAGGGAAGGCTGGCCAGGGCAGCGGGGGGTGGGATGGGGTGTAAGAAGAGGCGATTCCTAGCAGGGAGACAGTTTCCAAGCAAAAATGCTGGGCATGGAGGACGCCTTCGCACCAGCTATGCAACACCTCTACGTCAGGGTGGGTGAGAAACGGAGGCGCAAAGGTGATTTCTCAACACAGTGGGTGACGGAGCAGGAGGGAGGCGCTTGGGGTGCTGGGCTGTGCTTGGGCTAAACCCTAAGTCATGCTCTGCAGCTCACGTGACGGTTTCGAGTGCTCAGGGCGGTCCCTATGGCGTCTGGCGGTAGTCAGTGCGTGGTAAGCGTTAGCCAGGTTACTCTTATGTGACGAGTGGTCACCAGTTCCATAGACACCCCCTCGGCAGACTCCAGGGCATTCCCCGAGCGCCTCTAAGTGGACATGAACTAGCAGTCATTCCCGTCACCCTCCGGAAGGAAACCTCACAGCAAAGGGAAGGGTCCTCTGCCGGCCCTGCTCTCCTCGTCCACTGGGAGGAGCCGCGCAGGGCGGCGCCCGAAGGGACGGGAAACCTGCTGAGATTCTTACCCTGAAACAACCCGGGGACCTGAGGGAGCTCACCGCGGCCCCAGGCTAAGGAGGCCGTAACGCCAAGTCCAGGTGCCCGCTCTCAGGAGGGGCAGTTACGATCCTGAGTTCACAGCCTCGGGTGAAGCAGCCGTGTGAGGGGTAGGGATCGGCGGCTTCCCCGCACACCATCTGAGGAATTCACCTACGTTGTCGAGGGTCCTCGGTGGCCGTGGCACCGGGAAGAAGGGCGTTGCTTCAGGAAAGCTCACGCGTTCAGCAGTCCCCATGGGGCGTTTTGGTGGAAACCGCGCACCACCACGAGGCCGGAGGGCACGTTTGTGTACATTTAAGTAGATTTTTAAAATCTAGAAGGGTCTACAACAAAGCGTTAAAAGGTTGCTCTCGAGGTGAATTGCGGGTGATTTTTACTTTTTAAGAATTCTGTTTTGGTGTGACCTAGCGCTTCTGCGATGTGGGGCCTGTGTTACTTTACAGTCAGGAAAGAATCATAAAGCAATTTCCCTCAGAACAGATCAGCACTAACTCCCCGCTAGCAAGCGGCCTCATCTGTTTGAATGACAGGTCCCCGGCAGCCTGGAGGGCTGGATCGTGACCAGTTTAGCCCAGGAGTGAACAGGAAGGCAGCTGTGACAGAAGCCACCAGTTAGCATCCCCAAGACGCGGGAAATGACCATGACGCAGTGGGGAACCCGCCCGCACGCACTGCACGTCCCTGATTGTCTGACGTTGCCCACCGTGAAAACAAGGCCCGCACAGCCCTTTGGAGCCGACAGCCGTTTCCTTGGGAAGCGCGCCCACGCCGGGCCTGGCAATTAGACGGAAAGGCGAGACGCGGCCGGCCGGGAAGCGCAGCCCCTGGAGCCTGCGTGGTGGGTCACTGACGCACGCTGCGGTCCCTCAGCTCAGCCTCAGAGCTTCCACTTGGCTTCTGCTTAAAAGCCACGGGAGTGTCTGCGTGCTGGGCAGGGGCTGAGCCTCCAGGTGACCGTGTCCAGGTCACCTAAGCGTCGCTCAGGGGCTGTGCGGGACCAGGGGGGCAGAGGCAGGAGCCCCCTAGTCTGAGGCACATGGTACCTCTGGGGATGCCCTGGGCCTCCTGGAAAACCGGGTGACATAACAGACTGAGGCCCATACCCCATGGCAGACCCCGCCCGAGGCAAGAGTGCCAGCACCCCATCTCCCCACCAGCAGAGTCAGCACCACACGTGCTGGTTCAGAAAGGCTGGGAGGCCCCTGCTAGACAAGGAGGCCAAGTGGCCGTTGGGTGCGGGGCTCTGCTTGGCCCTTCCCCTTCCCTGTCCCCCTCCTGCCCCAGTAGCCTCATTTCACGAGCTAGAGCTGGAGGCGTTTCAACTAGAAAGCGATGCCACTTGTGAGCTTCTCGCAGCTGGTGGTTCACGAAGTCGCTCCGCGCCGTCACCTCACAGTTCAGTGTGCGCCCGGCGCCCGGGGGCACTTCCCTTTGAAGGGGAGGCAAGTCCTGCCCAAGCAGGGCCTCGTGGGCACCTGACGGGGATCGCTGCAGGCGCCCACGTCTCCTGGTTGATAGCTAAGACAGCGACCCACACGCCTGCCTCGTCACACTAACGACACACAGACGCGCCGTCGGACTCAGCCCCGATGATCGCCGTCTGCGCTGTATTCCCGGGGCCGAGGAAACACGGCCGGTGCCGTACAGACCTCTCTCCGGCTCGCCGCACGGATGGGCCATTTCAACGGCTTTTCTCCAGGTCGCGGGCCTTGTGGTCGCGGTTTCCGGGGAGAAACGCATTCTCAGCGGAAGCGCCGTTTGCTGTGGGTCAGCCACCCTCCCGTCATCAGGAAACCGAACACGGCGGGTTGTGTCACGCACCCACAGGACATGTCCACATGACCTTCCGTGGGGTCGGAGATGAGGGGCATCACAGAGAAAAGGGTACCTCCCTGTGACGGATCTGGAGGCGCTCTGCCCGGCCCCACGTCCCCGTGGGCAGCACCACAACTCAGCAAGGCAGGCGGCAGGGAGAAGTCGCTGCCTCCCACAGGCCGGCGACAGAGGGGCCACCCTCGCTCCTTCAGGAGTTAAATGGGGGCAGGAGAGATCTCCGAAACGACTGCCCACCAGCAGCCCACCCAGACCCGACTCCACGGCCATTTAACTTGGGACCTGCATACCGAGGGGCACCTCATGCTGTTTCCGTTGGGCATTTATTTCTACGGGACAGCAGCTTGCGGACCCACACTTTTTAAAGATGAGCCCATTCTGTGAAGAGGCATTTACCTAGATGGTCACGTCCTAGAACTGTGCTCGGACGGCATCAGCATGTCCACCTACGGCTGGGGGGCCCTCGGACCTGCCATCAGCGGCCGGCAGTCCCAGCAGGGATGAGTCACCTGCTTCCGTGTCCTCCCGAGACTTCCTGTGCCGTGAGGGGTGAGTCAGGCACGTTTTCCAGGTGACATTTCAGCCCGACTCCCCGGAGGTTCTCTCCACTCACTGGTTCTTTGTGATGTCAGGGAGGGAGAGAACTCCCAGAATCCCCCATTCTCGTTCTTCAGTGCATTGCACACGAAGTGCCAGGGGAGGAGAACAACTCCCCACAAAATCCGGGTAAGGCCTGCTGTTCAGAACGAGCGAGGCTGGCTGAGGTCCGGACGAAGATGGGAGGGACGCAAGGTGCACAGGTGCTGTGTGTGTGGGTTTTTTAAAATGTTTCTATTGATTTGAGAGAGAGAGAGGAAGATAGAAACATCCATCAGCTGCCTCCTGCACGCCCCCTACTGGGGATCGAGCTGGCAACCCCGGCACGTGCCCTGACTGGATTGAGCCACTGACCTTTGGTTCATGGTCGATGCTCAACCACTGAGCACGCGGCTGGGCTGGGGGTGCTGTTTTAGAGGTTGCCGTGGCAACCAGACTTGGGCCGTTGTCTCAGGTGCATGAGCCGTTAGACATGAGCCCAGCACAAAGAACCAAAAACAACTCGACAAGGACAAGTGCACCGCAGACGC